AAAATAGAAATAATTAAAAAAATAAAAGTATGACTTTCTCATTTTTTTAAGCATTAAAAAGTAAAAAAATGTGTTTAATGTTTATTTATTTTTGAGAGAGAGAAAGAGAGACATAGTGTGGCTGGGGGAGGGACAAAGAAAGAGGAAAACACAGAATTCAAAGCAGGCTCCAGGTCTGAACTGTCAGCACAGAGCCCGACATGGGGCTCAAACTCACTAGCTGTGAGGTCATGACCTGAGCCAAAGTCTGATGCTTAACCAACTAAGCCATCCAGGAGTCCCTCCCCCCCCCCAATTTTTTTTTTTTTAATTTTATAGAGAGAGCACAAGGTGGGAGAGTGGCAGAGGAAGAGCAAGAGACAATCTTAAACAGGCTCCTTAGCCAGCACAGAGCCTGACATGGGACTCAGTCCCACAATCCTGGGATCATGACCTGAGCTAAAATCAAGAGTCAGACACTCAACCAACTGAGTCACCCAGATGCTCCTTATTTAGTCATTGTAGCAAACATTGAAGAAATGGGAAGATCCAAAGAAATTTAAAAACACTGTACTAGTACCAAAATATAGCCACTAGTTACACTCTGATAAATGTTTATGCAGGGCTTTTAGTATTTTAAAAATAAAGTAATAATTTTTACAGCCTGCCTTTTTTTACTACACGTTTCTCTTGATGTTAAATGTGACTTTTAAGTTTTATTTACTTATCCAGAGAGAGAGAGCAGGCAGGGGTTTCAGAGAGAGAGAGAGAGAAAATTCCAACCAGGCTCTCAGCTGTCAGTACAGAGCCAAACTTGGGGCTCGAACCCACAAACCGTGAGATCATGACCTGAGTCAAAACCAAGAGTGGAATGCTTAACTGGTTGAGCCACCCAGGAGCCCCTAAATGTGACTGTTAAATGGCTTCCTAGGGGTGCCTGGGTAGCTCAGCTGGTTAAGTGTCCAACTTCAGGTCATGTCATGATTTCAAGGTTGATGAGTTCCAGGCCTGTATGGGGCTCTGTGCTGACAGCTTGGAGGGAGCCTGGAGCCTGCTTTGGACTCTGTGTCTCCCTTTCTCTCTGCCCCTCCCACACTCTGTTTCTCTTTCAAAAATAAACTTTAAATGGCTATTTAATATATACTGTTTTGAAGGGGCACATGCACACTAATATTTATAACAACACTATCATCAATAGCCAAAGTATGGAAAGAGCCCCAATGTCCATTGATAGATGAATGGATAAAGAAGATGTGGTGTATATATATATATATATATATGTGGTGTGGTGTATGTGTATATATATATGTATATACAGATATATACATACACATATATATACATACACAGATATATATACATACGCACACACACATATATATATATATATACACACACACAGTGGAGTATTACTCAGCAATCAAAAAGAATGAAATCTTGCCATTTGCAACTACACGTGGATGGAACTAGAGAATATTATGCTAAGTGAAATTAGTCAGAGAAAGACAAATATCGTATGACTTCACTCATATGTGGAGTTTAAGATACAAAACAGATGAACATAGGGGAAGGGAAGCAAAAATAATATAAAACAGGGAGGGGGGTAAAACATAAGAGACTCTTAAATACGAAGAACAAACAGAGGGTTGCTGGAGGGGTTGTGGGGGGGGATGGACTAAATGGGTAAGGGGCATTAAGGAATCTACTCCTGAAATCATTATTGCACTATAGCTAACTAACTTGGATGTAAATTAAAAAATAAATTAATTTTTAAAAAATGGCTACCTAATATTTTGTTGTATGATAGTATCATAAGACTATAGTGAGCATCTTTGAAAATAAATCTTGTTCAAGTTTCTGATTATTTCTCTAGGATAGATTCCTGGAAGACGAATGACTGGGTCAAAGGGTATGAACATTATCACCAGTAGCAGCACTATGTGTGAACCTTCTTACACCAGAAACCTCTGAGTCACCCGATTGCCTCTCTAAGTGGCATCTGGTGACCCTGTGACCTACACCCTAAATATGCAGCATCCACCTGCTTCTTTTTCCCCTTAGCCATCCTCTAGGCAGGGTCACCCTGCTCTGTCTCACTTCCATAGCTCCAGTAGCCTCAGCCATAGTCCCTCTGAACCCTCTACCCTTCCCACCCAGTCCTTTCTTCATACTGAAACCAGAGACAGTTTTTTTTTTTTTTTTAATTTATTTCTGAGAGAGAGAGAGAGAGAGTGTGAGCAGGGGAGAGTCAGAGAGAGAGAGGGACACAGAATCCCAGACAGGCCTCAGGCTCTGAGCTGTCAGCACAGAGCTGGACACGGGGCTCGAACCCACGAACCATGAGATCATGACCTGAGCCGAAGTTGGACGCCCAACCAACCGAGCCACCCAGGCGCCCTGAGACAATTTTTAAGAAAATAAATCTCATCCTATTTCTCTGCTTAAAACTCTTAAATGGCTTCCCATTTCTCTTAGGCTAAAGGCTAAAACTGTGATGTAGAAGTCTGTTTGCTTCATCAGCTTAATCTCTCTCCCTGAGCTCAGGCCAAACATTTGTTTTTAGTTTTTGTATTTCCAGAGATTTGCTTCTCATTTCTTCAGGGCCTCTGCATGTGGAGGCCAGCCATTGTTTCCTCCTTTCCCATTTTCTCTTATTGCAGCTTTACTAGGTTAACTCGTCTTCTTCCTCCAGATCTTAGCTCAAATATCAGTTTCTCATAGAAGACTTTCCTGACCACATTGCGTCTGCCTTCCAAGTCAGGTGCAGCTACTCAGTTATCTCAGAGCACCTTGTATTTCCCAGTAGCATTTAGCTCAGTTAGAATTACATGGCTAGTTGTGCAAGTAATTAACCGTTTAAAGTTTCTCTTCCCCTCAAGAAGACCACCTTTGAGTACCAGGGTGAGAGATCACCATGAGCTGAGCTGAGCACTGAATGGGCACTCAGGTCTGTGTAGTAAAAGAATGAAAGGCCTTTGGTACTTTTGGCAAAGTTCTTTGCAGAAAAGTGGTTTCCATTTACCGTCCTTTCAGAACATGAGAGAGTGTGTTTTGCTACTCTTTACCCAAACTGAGATTTCTTTAAAAAAAAAAAAAAACAACCTGATATTTTTATGTAGTCAAATCAATTAATATCTCATTAACCTTTATTCCTGTTTTATTTACTTAGAAATTCCTTCTGTATCTGTATCTTGATCCTTCTGTATCTATATCTTAAAAATAGATATATTCCATTATTTTCTTTTTCCTAATATTTTCTTCTGATATTTTGATTTTCTTTTTACATTTTACTCTTTACCCTTTCCATATTTATTTTGACATATGGTGTTCACTGACTTTTTTAGTTAAGTTGGAAATAACAGTACCTTTTATTTCAGTACCATTTACTGAATAATCCTTTTTTTTCCTACTTACTTTGAAATCATCTTTATTATATTACTGTATTCTTATAAATGCCAGCATTTGCTATTGGACCATGTGTCAAGCTATAAGTTTTTATAGACAGTTTTTAAGGCAATGAACATTTTTAAAATGCTATTTTAGTAACTGATACATATTGTAATTTTTGAAAGAACAAATCATCCTCCCTAATTACTCTTATTTCTCAGTATTTTCTTAGATGTTATTGAATTTTATTCCTCTAAATGAATTTTAGAGTTAAATAATGTACTCACAGGGGCGCATGGGTGGCTCAGTTGGTTAGGCTTCCGACTTCAGCTCAGGTCATGATCTCGTGGTTCGTGGGTTCGAGCCCCGCATCGGGCTCTGTGCTGACAGCTTGGAGTCTGGAGGCTACCTCAGATTCTATGTCTCCCTCTGTCTCTCTGCCCCCCGCCCCATGCTCTGTCTCTGTCTCTAAAAAATAAATAAACATTAAAATTTTTTTAAAATAATATACTCATATTAAATAGATCCTGTTGGAATCTTAAATGAAAATTCATTAAGCGCTATAAGTTAATTCAGAAAGAATCTACCTTGTGATAATACCATATCTTCCTATACACAAAAACATGTTATTTTCACCTATCAAGTTTATTTCATCTCTCGTAAAAAGATTTGGGGTTCATATACATATATAAATTTCTTAAAATATTATAAATATAAACTTTTTATAGCTGTTATGAAGGAAATTATTTTTACCTGTTGTATTTTTCTAACTAATTGTGACTGGTAGATTTAAAATGGCCATTTAGTTTTTTATGTTTTTTTTTTCCCAAGCCAAACTGTATCCAGCTTTATTAAAGATACTTTTTATAAACAATGATGGTATTTCAGGCAGGACATGGGCAGACAATCATTAACAGTATACAACAACTTTCAAACTCCCTTCTTCAATGACTACCAAAATCAGAAAGCCACTATCAAACCCAACGAAGTTTTCATTTGATGCTCTGAACAGGGACAGTTTAGAGTGAGGGTTGACATTTCACATTTAGGATGTTGTTTAACAACTTTTCACGAGCCGACCCTGACTTTCAGGAAATGAACTGAAAATGACAGAATTATCAATCTGAAGTTCCACAAGCTATAAAAGGAACTCTTTTGAGGGATGCCATCTCCATGGTGACACTGTAAAGTCCAGATTGCCTGACATACTGGGAATCATTTCATGGGGTCAGGTTCCAACAGGTCTCTGGGTTTAAGGGAGTCAAGTCTATGTTGAAGGCAGAGGGAGAAAAGGACATAAAAAATGAATTTTAGATTTTCCACACCACAAGGCATTTGTGCCCAGGTGGCTAATGTGTGTCAACATCAAGGAATGGCTCCTCCTGGGAACCAAGAGGAAGTTTCTCAGAACTAGAAGGGAATGGTGTTTTTCCCCTTGTATCAATCTAGCTTCGCAGATATTCTCATAGTGACATATGCCCTTCCCCCAAAACAACAATGAAGTGTTCTGTGTGCTAACAACATAGCTTTAAAAAAAAGTAAAACAGAATTCTGCATTTTTATAAAACTTGATAAAAAATAGTATTTCAGACTACAGTCACCAGAAGTACACAGTTATCAAAAATGCACACACTTCACTCGGCATCTCCATCACCTTCAGCTTTCTGTGCCTGGTCTGTTTTGGCATCTCCATTTTCTGCTGGGCTATTTCCATCCTTGCCAGCATCAGCTTTCCCCTTTTTCCATTCGGGTACCTTCTCTCCCTTCTTTGCAGGGGCCTTTTTAGGTTTGGACTCTGGCTTTGGAGGAGCAGGTTTAGCAGATAACCTTGCAGATCTTCTCTGTGGCTCGTCCTTCACCTTGGCTTTATGTCCTTTAGCATCCCCTTCAGCCTTTCTCTTGGGCGTGGTGGTGACGGCGGCGGGATGCGGGGATTCAGCAGCGCACAGGCTTTGGCCGGTCCAGGGGTCGTTCTCTCCTCCTCTTCTTCACACTGCTCTGTATGTTTATTTTTTATCCAGCCATTTATTAGTGTGTGTAGTTCTTTAGTTTATTCTTGTGGATTTTCTAGGAAGACAGGCATCTGATCTTATAAGCAATGATAACTTTGTTTTCTTCCTATTGAATATATATTTTTTCCCTTTTAGTTGCAGGAATGGCATTTATTTATTGATTGATTGATTGATTGATTGAACCAATTTTTTAAATTGAAATTTTAGTTTACATACAGTGCAATATTGGTTTCAGGAGTAGAATTCGGTGATTCATCACTTCTATACAACACCCAGTACTCATCACAAGTGCCTTCCTTTGTATCCATCACATGTCTAGCCCATCTCCCACTCACCTCCCTCCATCAACCCATAGTTTGATCTCTGTTGTTAAGAGTCTCTTGTGGTTGGTCAAATATATTTCTTATTTTTGTTTTAGGTCTTGGTTTGAGTTTTTCTAGAATGCCTGAGGTAATAGTATTAGTAATTATACTTGGAATTTTATTTATATCTTAGTTTATTTTAGGAAGCACATAATGATATCTCGTAGGTCTTTGAAACCATTCTGGATCTAATTCATTTGCCAACATACATGCTCAGTGGCAATACTGTACCTTAACTGACAATAATTTGGCAAAACAACTGTAGAAAGAATCCTAAACAGTAGGGGGTACAATGATGATCGAAAGTCCTGCTCGGTACCTGCATTCCATGCAGTGTTTGTTGCTTATAAAATGATGAAATCTAACAAAATGGAGAAATACTTGTTTCCCTGCTCTGCAAAAAATATTTTAGGACTCCATTTTATGAAAGTAAAAGCAAACTCAACTTACACACTACTTCAAAATCCTGAGCTCAGTTGAGCTACTTCTTACCTAATGCTTTGATAGTTAAGTGGGATGAAAATTGCAGCTGCCTAGGCTACTTCAACATGCAATGAAAGAACAATAATAATAAAGTTGTAAAGGAATAATTGCATTGCAAAAAAATAAACTAAGAAAAACAGCTGTACTACCCAGAAAGAAATTGTCATAACAGAATGAAAACAGTACCTTTGGTGCTACTACTTCCTAGAAGGAAAAAATCACAAGAATTTTGAAATCAGTATGTAAATGGAAAAGTCTGTCGTTTCCATTCATTCCATTCATAGTAATTTTCTCCTGACATTAACAGTTCTCACATGTAATTTTTTTCACTTTTGGGTTTTCATTTTTTAAAGTATAGTACTTGCTGTGACAGAACAAAGTCCCCAGGTAAGGCTGCAATGCAGACATGCCTGTGAAAACTGGCCTTAACCCTGAAGTCCTACTCTATACCCCCAGGGGCAAATGTCTCAAGTAATAGCTTTAATATTGAGTTCAATCAATTGGATTAAATTTTATGAAGTGAAAATTCATAAGACAGTGTAATGTCTTTAAGGCTTCCATTGGAGCTTACTGAAATGATTGTAAAATGACTCCTATTTCCCAGCACCATGCAGCTTTCTCACTACATGGGTTTTTGTTTGTTAAAAGAACTCTGTGTATTCCTATGTTGTTGGGATAAATTTTTTTTAAGTTGGACAATTTTTAATGTTTATTTTTAATTTTTAAAATTTACATCCAAGTTAATTAGCATACAGCGCAATAATGATTTCATGAGTAGAATCCAGTGATTCATCCCCTACATGTAACACCCAGTGCTCATCCCAACAAGTATCCTCTTTAATGCCCCTTGCTCATTTAGCCCAACCCCCCTCCCACAACCCCTCCCACCACCCTCAGTTTGTTCTCTGTATTTAACAGTCTCTTATGTTTTGTTCCCCTCCCTGTTTTTATATTATTTTTGCTTCCATTCCATTATGTTAATCTGTTTTGTTTAAATTCCACATATGAGTGAAGTCATATGATTTTTGTCTTTCTCTGACTAATTCCACTTAGCATAATGCCCTCTAGTTCCATGTTTTTTGATTGCCAAGTAATACTCTATTGTATATATACATCAAATCTTCTTTATCCATTCGTCCATTGGTGGACATTTGGGCTCTTTCCATACTTTGGTTATTGTTGATAGTGCTGCTATACACATTGGGGTGCATGTGCCCCTTTGAAACAGCACCGCTGTATCCCTTGAATAAATACCTAGTAGTGCAATTGCTGGGTCAGAGGGTAGTTCTATTTTTAATTTTTTGAGGAACCTCCGTACTGTTTTCCAGAGTGGCTGCATCAGTTTGCATTCCCACCAGCAGTGCAAAAGACATTCTCTTTCTCTGTATCCTCACCAACATCTGTTATTGCCTGAGTTGTTAATGTTAGCCATTCTGACAGGTGTGAGGGGTACCTTAATGTGGTTTGGTTTGTATTTTCTGGATGATGAGTGATCTTGAGCATTTTTTCATGTGTTGGTTGGCCATCTGGGTATCTTCTTTGGAAAGGTATCTATTCATGTCTTTTGCCCATTTCTTCACTGGATTATTTGTTTTTGGGGTGTTGAGTTTGAGAAGTTCTTTATAGATTTTGGATACTAAGCCTTTATGTGATATGTCATTTGCAAATATATTCTCCCATTTTTTTTTAATGTTTATTTTTTGAGGGAGAGACAACTGGGGAGGGGCAGAGAAAGAGGGAGGCAGAAGATTCAGTGATGTGGGACTTCAACCCACGAACTGTGAGATCATGACCTGAGCCAAAGTCAGACACTTAACCAGCTGAGCCAGGTACCCATAGGGTAAATTCTTAATGATGATGTTGATAATATTAAGCGTGTGTATACATACACACACACACACACACACACACACACACACTGACAAGTTACTGAGTGGCAAGCACTGTTCTCAGTCCTTCTCAAAACTTGTCAAATTTTAAAGGTTTTTAAATATGCAGATTTTAATCTTTTAGATAAATGTACTATTGTAAAGTTTTCCTACTTCTCCAAGTCAGGTGACAAGTTGATGAAGTAGAATTAGGATGACTCCTAGACACACACTCTCCCCTCTAGTCTTTGCCATTCTGAGGTTATAGGAAAAAGAGAGGTTGGGGAGAGAAGGATGGTCAAGGTAATCCTAAGTAGTTCAGGCAGAAACAGAGGGAAAAGTTAAAGGGGTTGAAAGAAGAGTTTGAATGCCTTTCTCCTCTTTTTCTAATTTGACTAACTTTTGAAGGGCCCCAAGTAAATATAAGAATCAGAATTAGTACCTAACTGTTAACTGAGAATCTACTATGTTTCAGACATTGTGCTGATTTACACACAGTAGATCTATATCTCTTGAAAGGATTTCATGCTGATCATAATCACATTTCTTGAATATTAATTTCCCAATGTGCATTTAAAATATTCTGCTTGTTGGGGCACCTGGGTGGCTTAGTCAGTTAAGCATCCAACTCTTGATTTTGGCTCAGGTCATGATCTCATAGTTCGTAGGTTCAAGCCCTGCGTGGGGCTCTATATTGGCATGGAGCTTGCTTGAGATTTTTCTCTCTCCGTCTCTGTCTGCCCCCCACTTGCTCACACTCACTTGTAGTCTCTCTCTCAAAATAAATAATAAATAAAATTTTAAAAAAATATTCTCGTTACAAAAAAATTCATGAATTCTTTTCATGAAAAATTTTATATAATGTTTGAACTATTTAGAAGAATAGTTCTTATATAAATGAGTCACATCCATAAATGGACAGACAATAGATTTCTCTTTAAGCTTTCCTCATCAACCCTCTTCTCTGTGTCTTTGCCTTTTCCTGTGTGTCTGTGGCACAAAATTTGCATTTAGTTATGTCATGCCCCAAATTTCCTATTATTCTGGTTAAAGCTTTATCTTTGTCTAAATATATTATCAACTCAAGAGTATTACCTATCTCTTTTATGTTCCCACAAGCCTGATCTAATTACAAATTAGGAACTTAATAAGTGATTCTGAGATGAGTTAATGAATAAATGAACAGACGTTAAGTTTGCCATTGGCCATTTAATAATTCTGAGGAGCTATGTATGATATATGTGCAGTAGTATAAAGTCAAAATTTTCAAAAGACCATTTTTTGTTATTGCCTTTTTTCCGTTTTAATCTGAAGAAGTGGTTCTCAAATTTTTTGGCCTCAGGATCCCTTTGCCAATTCCCTTTGTTGAGTTCTCCAATGCAGAGAAGATTGGCATGACTCCTGCATAGGATGACATGCAACTTCATGAAACATTCCATATCTTTTGCAATGTTTGGAAAAACAATAAATGCTGTACCTTTAAAAAAAATTATTGACTTCCCCAATGAGCTTTTGTCAATGTGGTTTATATCTAGTGATACTTACCATATTAAAATTAAAACTTAGACATTTTAAAAATACAAGAACATAACCACATATTGTACTAGCTATCTCTGTAGTGACATCAACTAAGGTTTACTAAGCTAGAAAACTCTACCATACACTCGTGAGAGAATGGAAATGAAAAACGTCAGAGTATTTTTGTGAAAATAGTTTAGACCTCACAGATCCCTGAAATGGTCTTGGAAGATTAATAATCTAAAGTATACCACTGGATTACTAAATCAGGCTATACTAAGTGTAGTCTTTAATCTTGAGGTGAAAACCTTGTTTTTCGCCTTTATGTTAAACCATGATATTGTGAGTGTTGTAAATGGTTCTAATTATATCACAAGCACAAAATTAATTTTTAATTAATGTTAAATGCTAATTAACATTTTTTCGATTGAAACTGTCTTCATTTTAAAAAAAACAACAATATTTAGAAACAGTGTTTAGTATACATTTAAGATTGGGCTCTCTTACATTGCAGTTCCCCAGTTTGAAACCACATGTGGTTATGTAGAAGCTACACTTGAAGAGTTTCTGACCTGGAACTGTGACCAGTCTCCTCTTTCTGGACCTTTTAGAGATTATGATCATTCCCAATTCTGGGCTTATGCGGACTATAAATATTTTGTCAGCTTATTTGATGACAAGACAGATATTTTCGAGGTAAGTCAATACATTCCTTTCAATCATGGTAATAATTTATTCTTGCGAAAAGATCACAAATTAGAATCTCTCTGATAACTTTTTCCTGCGCTTTTTCTCTCCAGAGTAATCAAGGTGAGTCTTAAGCATTTTATCCACTCAGACTAAAAGAGTTGCTCAGGAGAAGGGTAATGTTTGGCTCCCGCAGATGAGCAGCCTTGTCACGATTTTCCTACTCGCCGGACTTCTCACACACCCTCTCATTCAACTTTAAATGATGCCTGAGCTGGTTTGGAGTACACAGAAGCATAGAATGTGTATAGAACTTCATTTCCTCCTGACCTACATAGATGTTTTTATTCTGTTAGTGAGGCAGATGGAAGTACAGTACCGAGTGTTACATGAAGAAGTGTTGCCAAAATCCTGAAAGCGTTTCCAGACTGCCACTGCGTCCTTCCCGGCCTGCCCTCAGGGGGCAGGTGCTGGTGTATGGCCTGAGGCAGAGTGCTCGGCTCCTGGTTTTTGAGTGCAGAAGTCCTTGCAGAAGTAAGAATGTGGAAATTCTTTGTCAGGTGTCGACATTACTGGCAGCAGAGTTTGCAAACTGCCATATCCTTTTAAATGATTTCTACCTCCAGCTGCTAGCTTACTTTGTGGGGTGATTTTGCAAATTCTTTGTTCTGTCTGTGTGTGTGTCTTAGGCATGAGGCAGGATTGGGAGTAGTTCCAGGAAGCTGTTTGGATGACTGCCTTGCCCACAGTCAGGTCAGGGCTCCAGAGTCCTTTATCCTGCCCCTAATCCTTTGTTCAGAGAGGTATTTTGCTATCACAGCAGGCTATCATACCCCTTCTGCCCCCTCCCCCCAGCTCCCTGGACTCCTCTCTTCCTGACCATCACCATCAGGACTTTCCTCTCAAATAGGCTGATAGTCCTGGATCTTTAACCCTGGAACATTTAGATATCGTAGTTAACTTCTAGAGTCTTTTATTATATTTCTTGTACCGTCACTCACCCTGTAGATTAAGATTACTACTTTTTGCTCCATATTTCAGGTAAAATATTGTGTAATGACAGTATTTATCAAGTACTTCTTGTACTTGGTGCTTTCCTAAGTGCTTTACATTTGTAATCATCACAGTAACTCTATGATATAATTTTCCCTGTTTTAAGAAAAAAGAGGCACAAAAACTCAACCTTTTCTGAAATTCTACAGCTAAGAAAAGATTAACCCAAACAGTCTGTCCTCCAAGCTTTAAGTGCTGCTGTGTATGCATACACAGGGTCTGAATAAATTTAGTTCTTTAGGGACCCCATAGATGGGGTTAAGAACTTCCGTTCTGCTGAGTCTGGGCCCTCTCTGCCTTGTGTGAATCTCTCATCTAACCCCATCAATTGTTCTGCCTCAGCCCAGGCATGACAGCACTGGGCAGACATGTGTCTTGTCCATTAAGTGTGCATATAAAAGGCCTTTTAGTAGTGTGCTGGAATTCTAATTGAGCCCTTAAAATATAAAAACTGATGTTTTTAGTTGAGTGAGTTTTCTGTCAGCTCACATTATGGTGATTAATTCTCTGGATTAAAATAGGCAAATCTGCTATGAACAACCAAGTTCTTTATGATTATATCTTTTTTATCTCAGATATTTCTGAGCACCAAGTCTTCTTACATCCCAGGTACCTAAGTTGTTTTCCTTTTACCACTCTTAATTCATTCAGTCATCAAGTCTTACAACTTACTGTTTCAAGCTTTCTTCCATCTGTCATAAAATGGTGGGTAGTTAAACGTTAAAATGGGTAAATTTAGGGGTACCTGGGTAGCTCAGTCAGTTAAGCATCCAACTTTGGCTCAGGTGATGATCTCACAGCTCGTGGGTTTGAGCCCAATGCCAGGCTCTGTGCTGATGGCTCAGAACCTGGAGCCTGCTTCAGATTCTGTCTGTCTCTTTCTTTCTCTCTCTCTCTAAAAGAAGTAAACATTAAAAAAATTTAATGGGTAAATTTTAAAAATCTTTATTAATTCATTTAAAATAAAATCGTTATATATGAACATAATAACATTCTTATAAAAATAACTATATTTAAGGGGCACCTGTGTGGCTTAGTCAGTTAAGAGGTCTGACTCTTGATCTCCGCTCAGGTCATGTTCTCATGGTTCATGGGATTGAATTCCACTTTGGGCTCTGCGCTGACAGCATGGAGCCTGCTTGGTATTCTCTGTCTCCCTTTCTCTCTCTCTGCCCCTTCCCCCTCCCTTCCTCCCTCCCTCCCTTTTTCTCTCTACCTCTCTCTCAAGATAAATAAACTTAAAAAAAAAAAGGAAAAGAACTATATTTAATAATTTTTTAATGTTATAAGAAGAGTTGGCTTGGGGGTTCTGGGGGGCTTAGTTGGTGGAACATCCAGTTCTTAATTTTGGCGCAGGTCATTATCTCATGGTTTGTGGAATTGCACACCCCTGTGTCAGGCTCAGTGCTGACAGTATGAAGCCTGCTCTGGATTCTCTTTCTCTCTCCCCATCTCTCTCTCTGCCTGTCCCCTGGATGTGTGTGCATGCTTGCTCTCTCTCTCAAAATACATAAATAAACTTAAAAAGAAAAAAAGCTCTCAAGCTCATTTGTTTCAGGATACCAGTTTCCAAAAATCATTTTCATTCTGTTCAAATATTTTCTAATTTCCCTTGTGAGGTATTGTTTGTCTTATGGATTATTTAGAAGTATAATGTTTAGTTTCCAAATATCTGAGGATTATCTTTCTGTTGTTGATTTCTATTTAAATCCATTTAAATTTAGATCTTTTGTGGTCAGAGAACATATTTTATATGAGTTTAGTCCTTTGAAATTTATCATAAACTGCCCATAATATAGTCATTCGTGACTAGTTTTCCAAGTGCACTTGAAAATAATGTATATTCTGCTATTACTGTGTTTCAGAAATATCAATTATGTCACATTGATTGTTTAAGACTCCTGTATGCTTATTGATTTTCTATATACTTGTTCTGCCCATTATATAGAGAGAGATATGGAAATTCCCAACTATAATTGTATATATGTTTCTTTTACAGTTCAGGTTGGTCAGTTTTTGCATCATGTATTCTGAAATTGTTATTAAGTTCATTTGCATTTAGGATTACTATGTCCACTTTAATGGATTGATCTTTTATTATGATGCAATGATCCTCTTTCTCCTGGGTTTTTCCTTAATTTGAAGTCTACTTTCTTTAGTTTGCCTTTGGATAGTGTTAGCATGAAAAAGGAATACTTACTATATGATTCCATTTATATAAAATTGTAGAACTTGCAAACAAATTTATAGTGGTCAAAAAGGATCAAGAAGAGGGAAGTAGAGATAAATGGGTTATTAAGGGTCACAGGGAAACTTGTCAAAATATTTGTCATCTTGATTGTAGCAACGGTTTCTCAATATGTACATAATGTAAAAATTCCTCAAATTGTACACTTGAAATATATGCTGTTTATTGGGCATTAACTATACCTCAATAAAGCTGTTTTAAAAACAAAAGCTACAGTGCTAGTAGTACATTTTGGTTCCACTGTCTTGACACTAACAGTTTTATTCATGATTGTTTTTTGTGCCATCAACGCAAATGTCAGCACAGTGAAATAAGCAAATAACGTCCTAATAGTATTATGAGCATAATTTCAACCTCACAAATCCTTTGAAATGGTCTCAGTGACTTCCAAGGGGTGTGTGGACCACCTTAAGAACTTCTGATTTACAATATCAGTTCTGATATTATACTCTTTATTCCTCTACTGCTGACTTCTCTAATCAATTCTAAAACAGTTTCTCCTGAAAATACATTCCAAGTCATGCTCCAGATTAAATACAGAAATATATTAATCATGTTCACAAACATTTTGTGACTTAAAATTATATAAGGAGAGCATTTAAGACTCCCTAGTATGACTGACATGATCTGTGCCCTTGGCATATGTCCCTGTTGTCTCCTCACTTAGTCCTGGACTACTATGTTCTCTGTCATTTTCTGACCTCTGCTTATTCTCTTCTCAATTTCTGCCTATTGCAATTCAACTTTTAAGGCCCAGCTCAGAATCAGTCTTGGCTATGAAGATTTCTCATCTACTGTACCCACAACCATCCAACTGTTGGCTTCTTCATCCCTATATGTTTTATTTGGATTGTTATTTAAATGACATAGAGTGTTTGTGTCTTGTTCCTCTAACAATATAAGCTCTTTGGACACAGGGACTATGTTCAATAACTTTTT